AAGTGCTGTGCTGACTCTTTAAGGGATGCCAGATTTTAATTTGATGAATTACAGAGTTATCAATACTTGTCTATTAATTACATGGAGAAATTTCTCTGTGCCTTATTTTCAAAGTTGTAATGGCATTATTTCTTATTCTGTGTCTGTAAGATTTTGAGTGGAAGGAAACTAAACTGTCTTGACACTATTTCAGGTAATTCAGATTTTTGTTTTTAATTTTTGGGTTTGGGGGCTTCTGCAAGTTTTGTGCTTGTTTCTTGGATAAGACCTGCTGAAATAGTTAATATTTGTCATTTGTCTCTATGAGAAATACTTCCTTTAAGCATGTTCTGTGCAAGAGCGGAGAGGCTAATCCCATGCCTCTGACAGAGGGTTATTTTTACATAATTATTTGTCCAGCCCCTCAGTAACCCGGTATCAGGAAACCAGAATGATAATGTGACACTGTGCTAAATAAATCCCAATCAAGAAACTAAGAGGGCTTTGTTGGGCTTAGAAACTTGATACAGTCCTTTTCCTTTGTCACAGAAGTATGTTTTCCAGCAGATGGACATGTTGGATTTTTCTAGCAGTAAGGTAACTGATTTATTAGGGATTTACTGATTGACATGTTTCAGAGAAATAAAATGAATTACAGGTTAAAAAAATGGGAAACAGGTTGTAGAGACAAAGTAGGAATAAACACAGCCCTGCAGCTGGGTGAAGAGTCTGCAGGGCTTCTCACTGCCTCACTCTCAGCATCTCTCCCACACAGATTTTTAAGCACATGCTTAGACCTTAAGGGAAATCAGCTGGGAAAATATTGCAAGATAAATACTCTGGAGTTGCATATGGTCATCATTTGCAGAGCACAAATTTGCCCAGTCTTTTTTACCTTCACTCACGTTTTAATGTGAGGCTAAAGCGTAGGATGCTGCCTGCTTCTCTCAGGCATCTCCGTTACCTCCAAGTGTAAGATACCAAATGAGTCAGTCCTCCCAAAGCAGATCCCCAAGTTTCCATCCTGAGGTGACGGAGAACTGGGTTTCTCCTGCTGGACTCCAGGAGGAGGGTCACTGGGCTTTGGACACTCTCCTGAGCTCAGAGGAGCAGGAATCCCTCCCAGAGGCTTTCTCTGGTGATTACCTCTCTGTCCAATGGTGTAAGGGGACGTAGGTGTGTTCTCTGGACATGTCTGTCAAGTGTTCAAACTAGATCGTTGGATTTCACCTGAAGTTTACAGGACTCCCAGTTCTTCCCAGTGCCAAGTTCTGGCAGAAGCACCCAGAGATGGGGAACCTTGCTTTGCACACCACAGGTGGGGTGTGAGGTGCAACCTGGAATGCAGTGGGGTTTTGCTGTAACTAATTGGTATAAAGTCGTTTAGACCACAAAGATGCTGCCCGTAGGAAAAGTTGTCTGGTCTGTGCTTTGTATTGGCATGTTTGGGTTGATGCTGCTATGCCTTATTTCAGCATTGGGTGGTGGAAGGTAAACAAGGCATGTATACTTAGAGCTGTTTCTGCTCTGGTTTCTGTTCGCCAGGGATATGAAGCTGGACGGTGGACGCCAGTGCCATTCTACTGGAGTGTGTCTCAAAGAGATAATTGGTCTTGAAGGTGTGGAGCTTGGAGCAGACGGGAAGGTGGGGATGCTTCAGTTCCTACTCCATTAGATTTTATGTAATAAGGGAAAGAATTGTGTAACTAATAACAAGCACAGATGTAAAAATAAATTATAACCTGCAGTGTAACACAATAGTTAAAGCACAGTATGTACAAACTGAAATTCAGGAGGACTGTGTGAGCTGTCAATGCAAACAACTCTGTTTCCTTGAAGAAATTTGCCTGTGGCAACATCTGAGTCTGTAAAGCATTACTGAATCACACAGCCTTCCCCTGACTCCAACAGGAGGTATCACTGCACAGTGTATGGTCAGGGGCTTGAAAATAATTTTTGGTGAGAGTTGTAAGCTGTAATTCTGTTTGCTCTCAATTTTATTTAATAAAATAAATTTTGCTTAATGGTATATTTTGCCAAAGAACAGGAAGACAGTAGTACAAATCTGATGAGTATTTCAGAATCCAAGAGTGCATTCACTTGAATAGAATAACCAATTATGAATCTTCAGGGAAAGTGATCCTTATATTAGACAAATATATAGAGGAGAGACAATTTTAATAATAAATTAAAACATTTTTTGCTGAAAGCCTGATTTACTTTTCACAGTTCAGTTTACCCCATCTGCTGTCATTTGTGGATTTAAAGGCCCTAGGTCAATGCTGCTGCATATGTTGTGCTCACCTAACCAGGTGTCAGGCCAGACCACAAGCTGTAAATTCCTGAGGACAATCTGTCTTGTTACAGATTAAATGAAAGCTCACATGATTTATTTGATACCTGTTCTGACCTCCTGGTAAACCAGTCTAGAGTCTGAGACTCATTTTTTGTCTTCAATATAATGTTATATTTGGAAGATAAATGTATGAGAAGCAATGTGTAGTCTATTCCTGGCTGAGAGTGCAAGCAGAGAATTGGTACACTCTAAAAATAATTTTGTCACAAGTTATTAATTCACACTTAGTCCAAGCTGGGAGATAGTAAATGATCTCTCACAACCATTGCTCTAAACTAGTATCTCACGACACTAAGAAGGCTCTGACAGACAAAAGCCTAAAGGGGAAAAATACTGGGGAAAGTGCTTAAGTTTAGCAGCGTTCAAGTGATTTGCCTCTGGCTGCTCTGTGCTGAGGGACCCATATAGATGATGCTGTTTGAGTAAAGAAGCAGCTGAAACCTGCTGCAGAGAAGGCCCACTGAAAAAAAAACAAAAACAAAAACAAAAAACACCAAAAACCCCAAATTGACATTTTTTTAAATCTGACCCTTGAGTAGGATTTTGTAAATCCAGTGTATTAGAGCTTGTGTGTGTGTTTGTGGGTTTGTTTTTTTGGAGAATTAATGCCTTTGCAAAAGCTTCTTTTTGCATGGATAAACTGACTGCACTGAAGCAAATGTAGGTGACTGGTGTTTATTCATCTGTGCCTAACTACTAAATCCAGAAAAATCTCCACTAATTTGACTTCCCTTGCTTCCAGTTGGGGTGCACCAAAGGCATCACGCTGTGGCCAAGCTGGGCTGATAGTAACTGTCTGTTCTGACTTTCTTTTTAGACGGTTTCTTATACACAGTTCCTTTTTCCCACCAATGCTCTGGGAACTCGGAGGAACACAATAGACTCCACCTCATCCTTCTCCCAGTTTCGCAATGCAAGCCATCGTAGCCTTTCTTTGGCAAGAGCTAACAGCACCCAGGGGAGCATTGATGCAGGTAAGTTCTCCAGAAGCTTGTTTTAATATCCTCGGGTACCCTGGTGATAGTCAGTTATTGTGAAGGACGGACATATGTAATGTTTTAGCCCCGTTTTTGCTTAAATTAAGCAAAATATAGTCTCATGTCATGGGTGAAATACAGCTCATTCCCTGTTTGTTTAGCAAAGCTGGCTAATGGACGATGGAAGGTTAAGTAAACAAGGCTGCTGGTCATATCGCCAGCCCCTGATGGCACTCGGCATGCCTCCTCCTGTCACTGCCGTTGTTTGTTCCTCCCGCATCAGGCTCATCGTTGCCTTCCTTTGCTATGGAAAATTTACAGTGGCAACACGGTAGTCATAAGCTGGAGTTGTAAATCATCCTTGTGACCTTTGTTAGTCTGGAAAGGGCCGTGTTTACAAAACCACGCACAAAACATATACTGAAGCACTATATGCTTGAGATATTTTGGCACGTTAAATGAAACAAATCAAAACATCTGCATAAACAGATGAAAACTTGTTGCCAGGAATAGAAGTCATTGTGGAGCTTTATATAGTTTTGCAGTTCTCTAAACCCTAAACTCAACATTTACCAGGTCTATCGTAAGCTCTAGGTCCTCTATATCTTTTCAGATTGTATCAGTATTGAAATACTTGGAGTTTTCAAGATTCAGAGAAATCTTTCGACTGTCTCAAAAATCTTACATGAAGGATCATCTTGTGCGTTATCTGTGAACTTGCTTGCCACTTCTGTTAAGTCCAGAGGTTTCTTGATGTAATAAATTCTTTTCTTATATTTACCATTGTTTTATAGGTAGCGACTTGGGAGACTTCGTTGAATATGACCCAAATCTCTTAGATGATCCCCAATGGCCATGTGGCAAACATAAGCGGGTTTTAATATTTCCTTCGTATATGGTAAGTGATATGCAAAATCAGGTGTAGCAGATAAATTTTGGTAACAATTTTAAAGGTTGAGGTTACATTTGGCTATATTTTAAGAATATTATTATTATTATTATTTTTAATCTACTAATAACAGCTATTTGGAATGCTTTGTTCTAAATGACAGTTACTTACCAGGACATGTAAAAACAAACTCATGGAGGTATTGCAAAAGTAAATGCTTTTATTACGGCTGTATTTCATAAATGCTGTAGATGAAAGGCTTGTTCAAACAATGCGTTCATTCTCTCACATTCAGAGGAAAATTTATACTTCCTCTAATTGGCATTTATTACAAAATAGGAGGGTGCCCATTAGGGTTTTTCTGAAGTCATGAAGCTGCATTGTGTTTTGATGCTTATCGTTTACTCCTTGGAACAGCACTTTGGTGTCTAGTAGAGCCTTTGTTTCCCAGGTATTTATTTCACCATGGGATAGTCCTGCCTTAAATTGCAGCAATTTTGAGCAGAGCCTGTATATTTTTCACTATATCCAAACCCATAACAATACAGAGGCATATCCGTTCCTTGATCTGTGCTCTAACTCAGTGTTTTCTGTGGTGAGAGACTTGTGTAGCCTTTTTTCAGTTGCACCAAGTCTGCAGGCTGGTGTGCTATTTTGACAGGACCATTGTAAGATGCAGCATCGTCCTATGTGTGTGAGCACATATCTGTCTGAGTTACACATCCAAAGCAGTAGCAGACAGCAGGGAAAAGCTTCCCCCCTGAAAGTGGTGACCTACTGCTCTTACTATATACAAATAGGATAGGATTTGAAACATCAAAGTCTAAAGTGTCGTCCACGTCCTCACTTAACTTGGAACAGATGTTATTTTAGAAACTGCTATTGTATGTGAAGATACAGTCTTCATAGGTTTGTTCTGCCTCCCACCGTGGTCTTTATTTGATAATAGGGCTCTTGGGTGCCTCTTCTTCAAAATAAATGGATTTTATGTGTTCCATGTAGGTTGAAGCTTATCTCCTTGCTGGCAGGAGTGTTCTGCCTGTTGCACAGAGAGGCCTAATTGAGCTCTGAGGCTGTGTTTGTGCAAAATTTTCAAATGGGAAGTCCAGTATGTCCTCTGCTTACTTTTCAACCAGCTTTACTTTTAGGGTTGGCAAGTTATTTTTTCGCTGCCAGCCTACAAAGTGTCAACCTTTTATAGCAGCTGCATCTGAGCGGGATAATATTTGTTAGGCTTTGAAATGGTTATTGTCATGAGCAGGGAACTGTCTTCCCTCAGAGAGAAAGACATTGTTAACTGGCATCCAAAGTGAACATAGCTTTAGCAATCACAGTTGTGTTTCTAACCTTCCGCAGGCTGTGAATGGGCGCCCGGCAACCTGAGTCCTCTGAGATCACCCGAGGTCTTTGATCCCTTTTCACCTTGGTGTGGAGATGGACATGGTTGGGCGAGCCAGAATAGGTCAGGGGAGTTTTCCACCCAGGAGTGGGTGTTCGATGCCCTTCTTTTCTGTATGCTGGTTAACCACAGCGTTTTGAGGTACTTTTGTGGCAATAAGGAGCTGACTGTGGATTTCCAGTGTGACAGCGGTATGGTTAGAATCTTTAAAGGTGAAAAATGGCCTTCATGGGCAGTTGTTAAAATCGTCATTGTTTGTCTAGAATATATCTGTGTTGACAGGGGTCTCCCTGCTGTTTCGTGTTCTCTATGGGTTAATTACTGCTGTGTCTGGAAAAATGCCTTATTGCACATTTCTTTTTCCTGAATTTGCCTTCCAGCCGCCACTTCTTCAGCACTGCCTGAGGGTCTGTGGCGCTTGCATCTGCCTCTCTGAAGGCAGGCACTAATCTAAGAAAGGGCTGAATGACATTAAGTGCTGTCTTTCTTTTGCTGGTGGAAATCCCAGGCATGTCCCAAGAGCTGTCTTGTCCGTGGAATTCGCCTGCCCCTGGCCGAAGCAGCCCAGCTGTGATGCCATGCAGGAGCTGCACAGCTTTGCAAGAAACCAAAGAGTGGGTGGTTGTTCTTCAGTGCTCAGCTGAGAGAGCTGGTACTTCCTTCAGCTGAGAGAAGGGAGAAAATGTAGTGTGGGATTGTCCCAGGAGCTTGCAGGTTAAATAGGATTTTGCAACTCAGGCTGTGGGTAAAGAGGGCTTGTGCATCAAGCTGGTGACTATAGGGACACACTGGCTGTGTAGGAGACTTTTTACTCGCATCCAGATTAGACTTTTCTGACTCAGCTGGCTGTCCCCCTCCCTGCAGTTCACGTCAGTGTGAACAGGTGCATAATAGGGTGTAATTTCAAGTAATTTTCTTCCCCAAATATAAAAATTGGCGTATGCTGCAATTAAAGCAAAATTGCAGTCTGAGGCTGGTGAGAAACCAGTTGTTTTTTTCCCTGATCATGCACAACCATGGCAGTAGTGACAGACCTCAGCCCAATGTCCACAGAGCTGTGGAGCTGCTGTACACAGATTGAAAGCAGTCTCCAGTCCTGAGCGGAATATAGCTGTAATTACTGCCTCCCGCAAGTGCCGGAGCAGCTGAGAGCGGCTCTGATGTCAGCGCCCAACACTGTGTTGTGTGTGGAGAGCTGCAGCTTGTAATTAAAGTTTTTGTTACTTGGCCAGCATTTAGCATTGATTCCTGGCAGCTGCAAGCTTGTAGATACGACCCCCCTCTCCCCCCGCTTATGGAAGTCAGAGCAGTTAATGGGGGGAAGGTGTGCAAGAGGAATGTGAACACGTGGTGGTGCGGATGAGCGAGGCTGGATGCCGGGCTGTGGTGCTGACTGGAGGATAGGGCACCATGCACCGATATTACTCCTGGGAGCCCAGCTCGTGCTTTGTGGGCCAGGATTTCTCCACTGGTAAAACTCTGTTGAGAGGTCTGTGTGAATGCTGCATCAGTAAACAGTGCAGGCTTTATCCCGAGGCATAAGATGAACACAATGTGTGGTCCCAATTGGATTTTACTCTGAAGTACGTACAGTTAGCACTCAACATACAGTTCCCTCTGTTTTTGTGGAGCCCAAGTTTATCATCACTGACATGGACTTTATAGTCTTGTAATTTTGCTGAGGTGAATTAGTCCTGACTTGCAGAGGATTTTTAGGTGCGAATCCTCAGCTGTTTTCAAGGAATAGCTGAGCTTCCTCCTCGAAGATAGCTGTGGGGAAGGAGAAGTGCTTTGGGTTTGGTCTTTTTTTTGTAGTGAAGTTCCTGGCTTTAAAGGCTGTATGCTTCCCTGTTGCATTTCTGAAAGTAATACCCACAAACAGTCTGTTGGGACAATTCTGAAAAATCAGCTTCAGTACTTTCCCAACACAAACTCTGCGGTTTCTATTAATTGTATTAGTCATATTTAAATTCTGGTCTACCCTGGAGAAATTATTTCACTTTGTGTTGTCTTTGTAGGAGAGTCTACAATCTCTACTGCAATATAAACAGTAGGAGGTAGAAGAATTTCGTGCTGGGGGCTTGGGGAAGGAGGGAAACATCATGTCACAGTTAACAGATGTCTTCCTGGCTGATACTGCTAAAACAGGAATTATTGCAGATTTTTAATTATCTCTAGAATGGGAACTTTATCTACCAGACAGAGTGTCTGTGCTCGAGTCTCTCATTGACCAGGGTACGCCCAAATTCGTCCGTGCCTCCCTGGCGTCCCTGCGTTTGGCTTCTGCAGTTTGCCAGCAGAAGCAAACTCCTTCCAGGCAGAAGGAGAAAAGTCACTCTGCAATGGGCATGGGGCTGACCCCCACTGTCCTGCTTTTGCTGGTAACACAGAAACACAGGAGCATGCTGGCTGGCTGCTCTGCGTTGCCAAAACTTGCAGCAAAAGAAGAAAAGCCCAGATCAGTAGCATCTTGACTTTGAGTGACCCTTCTGTAATAACATCCCTGCGATATCCATCTATCCATGCCCAAGGGATACACTTGTAAATTAGTTTGGGTACTTAACTACAGTTTCAGTGTGTTGGTTTAATTATGTCAAAATAAATTGACAGCTCTACATCACTAATAAAAAAGCATGTCGCAAAAGCCCGCAGTGCTCTTAACAGTGGGCTGTCAGCCTGTATTTGCCAGGTACAGCACCCGTGTCAAGCACAGCCAGGCTGCATTATTAAATATTAGTCCTCCAATGTGATTTCAAGATTAGAACTTCTTGCTGCTGTGGCTGTTTAGTCTGACAAAAGCCCTGCATGATGATACAGCGCATTTGGTCTCTGGCTCCCCCGTTCTGTATTTCACAAGGAGCATGAAGGTCAAGAGCACTCTGCTACAGCCAGCATCCTTCGGTGCCATCACCCTGTTCTTCAAGACGCTTCTGTAATTGTAAATTAAGCATCTCCAGACTGCTTTTTTACCAGCTGATGACCCTGTACCCAAAAGCCTGAGGGAGCAGAGGATCACAGTGGTGATACATATTCATATTTAAGCCCTGTGCTCTGTGCATTTGATGCTATATTTGTCTGAAAGTCCAATAAAGACATATTTTGTAACAATGACACACTGTATTAATTGAGAATTATTATTTCAGTGTGTTAACTGTATGAAATAAACTGGCTTCCTTCCAAATACTTTAATTCAGAGAGGCAGTTTTGAGATTATTTGCTTTGTGAAATTCTAAATCTTTCCGTTTAAAATCCTTGAATGTTAATAACTTTCTAACAATGGAAACATCTTCTTTTAGTCTTTCTTTTCCTTTTTTGGGGGGTGGGTTTTTTTCATTAAAAAGAAGGAATCTCTCCCATTTTCCATCACTGCTTTAAGCCTCTAGTCTAGCAGGATTTCCCATATATATATGCATCTTCAGCCATAAGCATATGCATTAGGTTACTGTCAGTTTATAGCTACATAGCTGGTCACCTATGGTATGCATTAAGGTGGCCAGGCAGTGCAGAGTCATTCACTTCTTTTCATTTGTTATGTGGTTGAGAACTGACCAGTGACTTACCGAAGTCTACTGAAGGTATCAGTCTTCCGTCTGCTCTCTGTGAAGTAGAT